TGAATCGATATCTAAACGACGACTTAAATCAAAGTCTGCTATTTTCACACATAATTCAGGATGGGTTTTGTACAGGATGTTAGATGGTTTAATATCCCGGTGAACAATGTTTTCCCCATGCAAGTAATTTATTCCACAGAAAACATCTCTGCAGAGAGTGATGTTGTTGCTGCTGTTGAAATGAGGACTTTCAAAGTACTTGTTGAGATTTCCTTCCATGAGTTCCAATATGATGAAAGAGAAGTGCACATCTGTGCAAAAGGCAAGGTAATGAACAACATTTCTGCATCCAGTAAGCGAAGCAAAGGTGTAAGCTTCTCTTTCATCTTGTCGCCTCTCTAGACGCAAATTCTCGATTCTCTTGACTGCAACTTCCATGCCATCTTTTGAATTAATGCCAGCAAAGATGTGACCAAATACACCTTTTCCAATGGGCTCAGTGTGATACCAGTACATCTCCACAATTTGACATTGCTGTCTCCTGGTGACTTGAGCAAGTTTACTGGCATAATTATGAGAGTGAGAGGTCCATGGAATGGCCAATGGTACTTCCGCCATGTCTAGGGGCTGTGTGAGAAGAGCGCGGAGTTCTGGATAACCTTCTGCTATATCCAAGCAACATGATCCTTCTGCACCAAATGACAGCAACTTCTTGGCAATTTGCCAGTGGACAGAATCACATGAATGCTCTTTATAGGAATTTTTGATATTCATACAGCAGAGCTGCAAGGGCACCTTCATATCCATTGGCTGACTAATAGTCTTTAAGATCTCTTTCACCAAAAGTTCCTTCCAGGTGGTTTTAGTTGATTCATCTTCACAAATGTCACTCAACAGGGCAACCAAGGTTTCATCTGACTTGATGTAGTCATTATTGCAAGCAATGTCAAGTAAAGACTTTGCCAGCACGAATTCTTCTGATGCAATAAGTATACTGAATACAGAATTGCCATTCGCATCGTATGCCCATAAGTCAAGCTTCATATCGGCAGCAGTTTTCCAGAACGTCACAACATCCTCGGTGACATCAGGATAAAAACAGCCAGCTTTCAAACGAAACAAGTGACTCTGTGCAGCAACAAGGAAAGGAGATCTTTGTTGTGAATCAAAAACACTGGGATTTGCACCTGAGTCAACCAAGAGCTTGACAGCACTCCATGTTCGACAGAGGTGTAATGGTCTTTGTTCCTTTAAATTTACGATATTCAAGACCGCACCACATTCCTTCAGGTGATTTAAGATAGCTTCCAGCAGTTGCTCAAAACTATGTTTCTCTGTAATCATGGATTTATATCTCTTAATTGGGGTAACAGAGAGTGAAGCCCAAAGATGAACTGGTGAGCACATTTTATCATCAACTTTGTTGACAGTCACACTATGTTTGACATTTGGCAATGCGTACAGTTGCAATAGATGTAATATCAAAACACCATGGCATCTATAGCGGGTCAAGTCCTTTTGGAAAATTTTCAGAATGAGGTGAAAAACTGACTCTCCATTTCCAGTTGTAGCAGTGCTGTTTGGGTTATTAAATAATATATGCTTGCAGATTTCAATTGCTCCAATAATGACCGAGAGGGAATTTAACACCATTTCAGGAAATCGGACAGACATTTCTGAGAGGAAAAAGAGAAGTGGGGTTTGTCCTTTGCAGTTCTTCCTAACAAACGAAGACCCCAAGCCTAGCAGCTTATTTAAAAGATTCAATACAATTTCATATGACACTTCAAACAATATCAACCGTGCTACATAATGAATAGCAGAATTCCCATCTTCATCAGCACTAGTGTCTGGGTCTGCCCCTAAGTCAATAAGTAAAGTAAGTACCTCCTCCAAAGCAAGGTGTGTGGATTCATTGTTATTGACCATAACATCAATTTTCTCCAAGGCATGATTCATTTTTGCACCAAAGTCACCATAGATTTTAACAGCTCTAGTCATTAAAGGAGCAATGGGCATTTGTTTCCTCAATCTTGGATACAAAAATGATGACACTTTGCAAAATAGAACATTGACAAGGGTTTGAAAGAATTCTTTCTTTGTCAATCCCTTTTCTTTGAACAGTGTTAAAATCCGATTGATGTGTTCATGATTGGGATTCTGCATTATACAGTAGCAGATAAAGAAGGATAATGGACTTGCATGGTAGTTGTCTTGCACATAAAGATCTCCTCCTTGTTCAACAAGGTGAAGGGATGACGAGTTATTCTTCAATATTGCATAAAACAAAGGTGTTCTTCCATTAGTATTCCTGATGTTTAAAAGAACATTTTTCCTTTTAATCAGTGAGACAGCAAATTCTTCACTTTTAAAAGCATAAGTTAACATGGTCTTTCCTTCGTTATTGGGTATATTAACGTTAGCCTCTTCTGCTAATAATTCTTTGGCACAACTATAATCTCCTTCACGAACAGCATTGGCTAACTTTGTATTTCCATAGTCATCTCTAGCATTTTTGCTTGCAGTATTTACATCAGATTTAGTTAAGTACAACAGAGTTGAAATCTCAGATTTTTTTTGTTCTACAGCATTGGTCAGTGGCGTATCACCTATGTCGTTAGCAATGTTGATATCAGCACCTGCATTAAGTAAGGCAAGTACAGTTTCATAGCTGTTACAATTTACAGCTGCCATCAATGCAGTGTTCCCTTGGTGATCTACTATGTTGACATCAGCACCGGCATTAATTATTGACAAAACTGTTTGTATGTAGCCATATTTTGCAGAAGCATACATCAAAACAGTCTTGCCTTTATTATCTTCAGCATTGACATGAGCACCTGCATTGATAAGAGCTTGAACTATTTTCTTTTTTCCATGTTTGACAGCGTACATCAGTGCTGTCGTTCCATTTTCATCAGCTAAGTCAATGTCAATACTAGTTTCTTTGGTACAGTTTAGATTTTCATCAGCACCTTCATTGATCAGTTGAAGTGCAATTTCCCAACATCCACATTGAATAAAATGGCTCAAAACACTTTTGGATTCTTTGTTTTTATGATTCACATTAGCTCCACCTTTAACAAGCGCATGGAGGATTTCATTCGCATCCAATGTTAAATACATTAATGGTGTGTTTCCTTTATTATCTTCAGCATTGACATGAGCACTTGCATTGATAAGAGCTTGAACTATGTTCTCTTTTCCATGTTTGACTGCATACATCAGTGCTGTCGTCCCATTTTCATCAGCTAAGTCAATGTCAACAGTAGTTTCATTGGTGCAGTTTAAATTGTGGTAAAAATTTATTAGTTCCAAAGCACTTTCATCACACCCATTTTGAATTGCAAATATAAGTAATAAATAAGATGCATCAACTACCCTAGCTCCAGAATAAAGAATAAGTTGTACAAGAGATTTCTTATTAAATTGGATAGAATAAGTTAGTGCAGTTTTTCCCTGACTGTCCATGACATTGACATCGGCACCAGCTTTTACTATCTTCACTACAAGTGACTCTGTAAGATATTGAAGTGCATATATCAAAGGTGAATTCCCTGTTAGATCAACAATGTTTACATTAGCTTTACGTTCAATCAATAAGTTAAGGATCGATTCTCTACGGTGCAAAATTGAATAAACTAATGCTGTTTTCCCTTGATTATCAGAAATGTCAACATCAGCTCCACACTTGATGAGAAGTTCAACAATGTCTTCTTTACCATTCTTTACTGCATACATCAATGCTGTTTTGCCTTCATCATTGGTTGAGTTAATATTCACACCACAATCTATGACCTTCTGTACACCGTCTGCTGTACCATATCTTGCTGTTTTAATCAAATCATCTTCTTGAGAGTCATCTTTCTTTTGCATATGCGTGAAAACACCTTCTAAATAATCATCGGGCAAACTTATATCACTCAGTACTTCTTCTGTGTCATCTGATGACTCTGATGAGCTCTGCATTTTCCAAAATATCAATATACTATTTTTTTTAAGTACAGCCAAGAAAAATTATTCTACATAGTGCAGTTAATACATAGCGTGTTATAGAACAATTTGGTTCTGGGAAAACCTATCACTGATTCCATGGTTCCAGCATTTCACTGTTCCACTATTCTCTCATTTTGTGTCATTCCTTGAAATGGTGCATACAATGTATTAACAAACAACAATATTAAGGGACACTTCTGTTAGTAAAATACTTTTATGACGTCAACCTTTTTGCCATCTCATCATTCCATGGTTCCTGCATTTCACCGTTCCAGTGGTTTACCATTTTCAGTCATGGTTTCGAGTCATCTCTTGGACCGCCATCTGTTAATTTGAACGTATTAAATTTAGACTTCAAAGGATTGAACCAAAATTAATGATATATACTATCGACTATTTACCTATTTGTAATTGTTGTGAGGCTTTTAAGAATCTTATAAGCGTGTTCTCATGTGATTTGCTTCGAGTTTGAGGCGTCTATCGAACTACATGGCTGGGMTKGGCTGATTAAMMRRAWTTGCTGAAAGAAAAAGCCGCAAAAAATCAATTCCATCTACATAATAAATACCCTGGCTTCTAAGGCTTCTTGTTAGGAAAACCTCTTGCACTAAATTGTACAATAATAGACTAATATTTTAGACTTTCGTAGCCAAAACGTACCTTTGCCGCTCTTCCTGCTCGCCCACGCTCAAATGGAAAGTGAAACTATGCAGATAGAGCGTCTAGACTACAGGAATCCCAAAGTGTCTTTTACGGGACAGTATATCATACTTAAAATCGCGAAGTTTGATGCACTCCAATTTTATAATACCGTAAAAATTAGGAATTTTAAAAGGTAAGGTATAAATGATTATTCAACCAAAATTTTTCAATCCTTTCTTCAAAGAATAATATTCAAATGATTTCTCGGAAATTCGCAGGGGGTATATAGTGACGCAGAAAAGTTTACTAAAGTTTATCACAAACGTCGCCAAAAAAGTGAATTTTACCGATATTCCTGTTGACTCATTGATTTTATGTCGCGTAAAAGTCCCAAGAAGCATTTAGAAAAGGTAAACTTTGGATACTTTAACTGCTTTAGAAATTCCGAGATTAGTTGAAAAGGATAGAATTATTTAAAGGGATTTATAGTCTAATTACTTCTTGTATCTTAGAACATTTTCAAGCTTCATTAGTTATAAGTTGAAAGTCTGAAGAGATACATTTCACAGTTACGTTCTATGCAAAAACACATTTATATTGCCATTGGCTGTCAGAAAGCTTCCGCACACAGCACGAAATCGAGCAACTATTTACCATCGCTGCTTCTTTTATAATATATCATTTAATATTTTGATCTTACTCATTCAGGGAACGTAGGGTAAGATCAAAATATTAAATGATATATTATAAAAGAAGCAGCGATGGTAAATAGTTGCTCGATTTCGTGCTGTGTGCGGAAGCTTTCTGACAGCCAATGGCAATATAAATGTGTTTTTGCATAGAACGTAACTGTGAAATGTATCTCTTCAGACTTTCAACTTATAACTAATGAAGCTTGAAAATGTTCTAAGATACATTATTAACGGATTTGTTAAACACTAGAGTGATTTCGTATCGAAATCCCCAGATTCTGCGAGTCGAAACACAAATAACTTTGGTAACCTTTGGTGTTTCAAGCTTCACTGAATAAGATCAAAATCATGTCTGCTGAAGTGGACATCAAGGTAAGGAATCTGTCACTACCACTAAAGCATCCTAAAATTATATCAGCAACTAAGTAATCCGTTAAAACTGAACTAAATCGACAAAATCAGCTCTGCAGTTGCAAAATCTTACACGGAGCTGACCGGCCCATGACTTACAGGACAAGCTCAGTGTTTTTTCATTGTTTACAAAGGTTCTACATCGTTTTCATGGACCC